AGCCTTGCCGGCACCACCACCACCGACCGGCAACGCACTTGCGAACCCTCAGGCAATGTTAGTGTCTATGAGTCTCCCGCCCGTAAGCCCCGCTACATTAAAAATAATCACCACAATTTTGCTCGTAGGAATTAACCTTTAGTGGTTTCTTATCCTATATAAATCCCTCGTCCCAGTTGTTGACTTGTGAGTGATCCAGATTGAGCTTGTAAACATAATATTTCTGTCTAATAATGTTTCAAAGTTGATTAGACCTTAAGACTTCCAAGTTATCACCACTTAGTCATGCAGTGGAGTAACCTTATAACTAAAATGTTGGTATTTACATATAATACTTATATATTACATATTTACTTTAAAAAAATAGCTTTTAATCGAGTACTACACTACACTAAACTACACTAAGGCTATGTCATTATGTTTTATACTAGTGCTCCTCTGACGGAATCCAAAGCCTCCAAATTCTTTCACTTGTATCTATTCTTCGCGACAGTTTTCCAATTCTGCCCCGCTATCCCTTTTATTCCATCTGCCCAAGTTTATGGTGGGCATCCTCTGTTTCTTCTTCCCACTGGGCCATTCCCAGCAAGCATCTTCTTGAACCATCTGCCATCGGTAATGCGGGCATTACGGACACTTATTATATGTATACTTATTCTTAGCTTGCTCAAAGTAAACCAGTGTTATATAAAAGCGAAATTGATTCGCTCTGATGCGCGTTACATATCCAATATTCTGTTTTAATTACTTAATACATTTTACTAATATATTTCGCTTAAATTATTTTGAGACTTACAAAATTTATATTACATTTTATGGTCAGGTGCTATATTGTATATTGTATCACCACAATAATTTCATAACGTCAATTATAGATCAAGAGCCCAGGACTGCCAACCCTTCGTCATTTTATAAAAGCTGAAAGTTCTTCTGTGCGTGTCCCCTATACAGGTAAGAACGACCAGAGACTATAGAGTTTGGGTAGTGTAGGTCCGAGCGCGAGCGCTTAGTCTTTACTACCTGTTATCTGCCAAAGTAACCACTACCCAAACTCTATAGTCTCTGGTCGTTCTTACCTGTATAGGGGACACGACACGCACAGAAGAACTTTCAGCTTTTATAAAATGACGAAGGTCTGGCCTAAGCAAAGAGCCCTGGGCTCTTAGGATATTATATATTTACAGAAAATTAAATTTAGTTGCCAAAAACGTTTGGTTGATTAGTATTTGAGTAGCATACATAGCAGAGGTACGTGTCATAATATATGTGTCATTGTACTTTGACTTTCAAATGGACACGATAATCTTGGGTCGTATCGGTTCGGTTTTTACAGCCATAACTTTATGAATTAAAAGTTATTTTAGTCCCGACATATAACGACCGGTTATTTTAAACATAGCTATTATAAAAATAAATGAATCCTAACAACCTTAATAAGGTTGTAGCGTCATCGATTTATTGGTCTGGGCATCAGATTTCTGTATCTGTTTCATGATCATTTGTCAATCTAATAGGCAACTAGGTGAGCCTCCCGTGTCTGACAAACACCGTCGACTTTTTGGATCTAAGGCAAGGCAAAAGATTCGGTATTTTTGTGGTCGTCTTATATTGTCTGATAATAGTGTCTTATAATGTTTAATTTAAAGAATATAATGACCCTTAAATATATAATTTGTCTGTCTGTACATACTAAACCGGTCGATTAACGCCTTGAATGTCAATTGGGCGGTGAATGAGATTATGGAGTAGGAGCTGGCTACTGTAATTCCTTATATAATTGTAGAACAATTTTGCTATAACACTGTCTACAAAATACTATACAAAGACAAATTGTTCGCTTTTACAAACTAAGTCTATTGAAACATCAACTAAAGTTATGTTCTTGGGACTTCCTTAATACTGTTGAGTTTGTATTTGAGATATTAGTGGTATGTGGAACTGGATGCACTTAAGATCTACTAGCTTTTTTTAAACCAATTTTCCACATGACATCACAAAATAATATGGCTGCGTCAAAACATAATTGTGATGAGCGCTTTTTTGTTTCTGCTTATGACATTTTAAACGTTTTCAACATAGCTAGAATTGCGTCAATGACTAGTTATGTTATGAAATAGGAAGACATGTATTAACAAGCTCAAAAAGTCATAAATTAAAAAAAAACTGAAGGCTAAACTATTGTTTTTGGGTATCTACTTACATTTTATCCTAGGAGAGTTGCCACCTGTTTACAAGCTGTCAAGAAGTTTAGTAACCTAGTAATGAATATAAAACTTATAGAAGCCCTTCTTGGGTGTAATTGGAACTAAACAGAACAATACAACTATACAAATTGTATGGAAAAGTTATAATCCTCAGGTTCAAAAACTGAAATGATAGTATTGACAAATATGAAAAGTTCCTGAAATACCTTTTTTTTTATTTTCCTTTTCTTCCAAATCCAACTCTTTGGCCGTGTTCACAAAAACATGACCAACACGGGTTCAATTTTTTTTTGTTATAAACATTGCTAAAATCTATAGGGCTTCAGTCATTCCTTCATCTGTGACTTGAAGCAATCACGGATATTGGTGATAAAACTTGCGTAAAATATGTGAATATAAATGTAGCCGGATACGACTAGAAACGAAGTTAAAAGTTATAGTTAGCCTTATATATGTTATCTTATTTAAAATTACATTGTTTTTACGTTCATGTCTACATGTACTTGGAGTTTGTAAACATAGTAAAACTTAATAATGATTTTTGGTACAAAGGTTTATGAAACCTACTTTTGAAAAATTATTTTGTAGTAGATAGGCCATTTATTGAGGAAGGCTATATGCTATTAAACTTCTCAACACAACCTAAGGGCCTCAGCTATCTTAATCAATATCACTCTTCGGTTATCCAAAAATATTTTGTGGACTTTTTTCATGTTTTCGTCGGTAACAACCTCTTTGGGGCTCCACTGCGTGCATCGGTAGTTTCGCCTCGTTAAAACTTAGCAAACCACTTCTAAACGATTTTTCTGGTGCAGAGTCCGAATAATGTTTACCTAGCCAAGACTTGGCTTCAAAAGTATTTTTTTTTACAAAAAGCAATGCTTCAACTTCATAATCAACACACAAAATTCCTTTTTATCCATTTTTAAATAAACAAAAGGTCATTCACTCAAAATACTATATCTCACAAAGTGTACTATTGTACAACAGTTGTAGAATTTATATACGTCTTTGAAAGGTTAGGGCCTACTAAAAATCATATTCATTTAATATGTACTTGTAGCGCCATCTATGATTCAGCCTACGAACTTTTCAACCTGCCTAGTTAACGAGAAAAAGAGGCAGGGCACTGCTAGAATTATAAAACTGTAGCTTCGGGAGATTTTATTTCTATTGTTAGATATCTACTTACTTTTTTAAGTTACAATATTTTAAACGGTAATAAATCAATACACGCGACATTGTAAACAATTTAATTAATGTCAGTTCAATGTACTGGGCGAAAAATATACCACGTGATTCGCCTTTCACTGTTTTACCGTTCAAAAAATTGTACTTGCTCCTAGTCTAGTAAATTTACAGGAATGCAGTCACGTGTTTTATTTGAATGAATCGATCACGTGTTCCTCTTAAATAGTTCGTGAGTGTAGTAACAAGTTACGAATAGTTTAAACTGTCCTAAGCGTGTGTGGAATACGCGCGTTTTTTCTGTAATTTATGGTTATTGCCGAATGAATTATTGTTACGATACACAGATTCATAATTCGATTTTGACGGTATAGAAATATATTTAAAACTAGCTGTTTGTCTTCCACGTGGACAGTGGAAAGCGAATTGTATAAAATCTTCTTTTGGAAAATATAATCAATATATAAAAATGATATCTGCGACTTCTATTGTGTCAAATTCAGTTTTATTACGCAATATTATATGATACATTTAATTTTACTTATTTATTTATATACTATTATTACTACCATAACCCTGCTTGGAAAGGACAAAAGGCGAAAGAAACGTAACTAATATTCCTAAAATAAGTAAATAGCTATAAAGACATTGCCTATTAACAAAAGATGGTGCGTGTACTTATGTACGCGCGTAAGAAGTTATACTTCTTTGGCTTATTATTATTTTATTAATAATACATATTTAGCGTTAATAATTTAACAATATTTAATATTTAGTATATTATTCAATTATTAATTAATATTAATAATAATTATTATTTATTATTTTATTATATTATTAATTCAATTTAATAACTAGGTATGTTTCATAACCTTTTAACTAAGTAACAATAGGTCTTTGTGAAAAAGCATTGCTAAATTTCTTTGAAAAAATAATTAAAACACCTTTATTTGTTTAAAAGGTACTACAAATGTCATTATGGTCATTCAAAATTCTTGGCATAGTTGCTAACGTCACGCATATTCTATTTCTTTTTACTTGTAGATTGTCTTATTCCCATCTCGCTCGCGCACGCTCGGCGCCCATACTGATAATTTTGTGTCACGGTGCGCGCGCATCGTAAAATTTCACTCTCATAAATTTTTCATAACGCGCCTAAAGAAGTATAACTTCGAAAATTATTTTACAATATTGACAGCAGTTGTCAGTCAACAACCAATAATATCCCGGATAATTAGTAAAAAATTAACTTATAATTAAAGTATTATCTGGCTGTTACAACTAGTTTAAATATTTTATAGCTTGACATATGCGGGAAGTGGGCTAAACAATTTAAAATCTACCATTACTTGATATATAATTCGCATTTTTATTGTTTTATTATTATTATTATTAGTTATTGATATGTATTTTAGAACTTATACTTTAATAAATGAAAAGGTGTCACAAATGATGCTAAAAATAGTTCTCTTGATAACGTAAGTCACCTAAGAAACACTAGACAGTCTAGCAATCACTACGTAACTTCTTCGTAGAAAGCCTTCATCACCAAGCACTACCGTCTTTCTAATTTGCCTTGTTAATAAAAATTACGATTACAGATTCAAAATGGTGTTCGGAGCGAAGAAGGCGCTCCAACATGTGCCGAGCAGGAGTCGAATATCGCTTATGAAGATACAAAATTTCACTGTTCAAAAAAGGCGTAAGTTATATTTCAATACTTAAAAATCGAAACACTTTAAGGCGAGAATAGCTTCGGGTGGTTTTGGTCAAAAATGTTACGTGCCCCACATCTTCGCGTTTATTTATTTCTAAATAGCAATAACGTCGGATCCTTTATTCGAATAAGGCGTTATTTTAATAAAATAAACAAAACTTCTCAATACATCAATTTACTATTACCTAAAATTTTAATTCTCATACCTTTTTACTTTTACCTTTAAAATGCCGGCAACGCACTCGCTAGCCCTCTGGCATTAGGAGTGTCCATGGGCACTATCACTCAACATCAGATAAACCTCCTGCCCGTTGCCTATTCTATAAAAAAAAATATTTTTCTGGTAACCGTTCTTGGGTCTACGTAGTTATTTTACAAGCAAACTCACGAAGATATCAAGAACGCAGCCAATTGTCTAATATAAATCACAAAAGTATCGTCTCTTCCTTCTTCCGCTTTAAAAAAGATCATTGACCTATGGACGTGTCAATTGCTCTGATTACACTTATCAACCGGGACTATAGACTCTAGAAAACTCAATCGTTTGACCTTTTAATTGTATTTGTAGTGTTCACCTAATTATATCATTAATAGTAATTACAAGATAAATGTCGTACTTGGTACATGTGTATCATGAATCTAATAGCTATCATCTAGTAGCTAAGAGCCGGTCTCTTAACACTAAGGTCGTGCCTTCGAACCCCGGCTGTGCACTAATAGATATATCCATGTGAATACTTAATTTATGTAGCAGTTTTAAAAGGATATCTATTGCTAATATGGTGAAGAAAATTTTCTTGACGACAGCTATCCTCTGCCACTAGCCTAAGGGTATTTAGAATTGAGATTAGGCGCTAATGACCCCCATAGGTAAAATATTATTGGATTTTGACATAGTGAAACTTAAGGGCAAATCAAGGAGTTATGGGGCCTATCTTATAAGTAGGTTATTCAAAGTTTATTTAAAACATCTAATCCCTCGATTCAATTGTAAAACGAAAAACGTATAATATATAATCGCTTTAAATTGAGCATTATTTAAAACAGACAGTATTTTTTACTGGCATATAAGACAATAATAAATCGCAATTTACATTTCAAAATACTTTTTCAATTCAATCGGCTTTCAATTGGTGTAAGTTGAATTTAAAAAATTTTGTAATTACCGACCAAAAGCTACGGAAAATTTTAAAGAATTTTAACTTGTTTACACAATTTTATTTTGGTCTAAAAATATACGATTGATTTTAATAAGTATTGTTTTTGTACAAATACCTTGTGTATTTTGTTTGTGGTTTGTTTATTGACAATAAGCTAAATCAAATATTATTATTACAATAAATTAAATTATTTTCTTTGTGATGGCAATTTCAAAGTGGGCTGTTTCTTTGTGACATCTAGCGACGGCGTCCGCAGTGTACGAAATCTCTTTGTTGTTTCAATATCAGCTGATGTCGATTAGGGTCGCGCACAACACCGGACCTTTTCAAGAACGGATAAAAGACACATGAACATGATAAGATGTTAATAGTTAATTTTATTTTATTAGGTTGAATCTAAAAAGTGCCTGGATTTTTGCTGTCAACCATTTTAATAACTTTTAATTGAATTTTATTCGATTTATACTTTCAACAATAAAAAGTGTTATAAAATGCTAAGTACTGGTGATTACTGGCAAGTTAACATTCATGTAAGTTGAGTGAATTAATTACTTAATTACCTTATATTTATAATCTAAACCTGATTGTATCTAAGGATTTTTTTAATACGTTAAATGCGTTATTATACGAGAATAGTCCAGTGACAATAGCGCTAAGTATTTACCGCACAGCTTAAGTTTGTGTTAAAGTTTTGTTTTTGTGAAACAGGAAGTTTAAACATAAAGACGGAGTAAACAGGAGAGCAGATCTTCTGATTCTCAAGAAAATATGTTTTCTTATTTTGCCAATATTGCCATTTCCTTGTATTATAAGAATTTAAAAAATATTATTAATTCGTAATAAGGCACGTAAATATACTGTACGTAAGTACAATCTTTTATTTAAACGAACCAGCCAAAAATAATATTGTCTTTATTTCCTTGGAACAGTTGAAATAATACTATAACATAGGTTCTAACAGAGAGAGACAGAGAGGGAGAGAACAGAAATGATGTATCAAATAACATTTTGCAATCAATTCACTTTATATTATAATGTGTACCTTTTTTTGATAAAACACGTACATAACTACAGGTTAAAATTGAACAATTAGATCACATGGCATTAACGGAAAGGGGAAACATTATTTAATGAAATTAAATCATTATAAATTGGTGAGGTCAAGAAAAATTTTAATACCTATTTAATAGTTGAAAGCTGAAATTTTATTATTCTTTTTGTTTCAGAATCTGTAGTAACATTGGTGTATGGCACTCTGATGATCGTACTTGGACTGGTCTCAGTTCTCATTGATCCAATCGCATTGTTTACGAATTGGGTAAGAATATTTTTCACATATCAAGTTTGAAACACCAATTGAATAACCTCGACCTATCCCGGACGTACTATTTCAAAAGAATCACATTCTCTTCAAAATATTACAATAAATTTATATTATAATAATTGAGACCTAGAGAGAACTATTGTCATACTTTCCGAATAGCAAATAATAAAGCGATTCAAAGCCTTCATTATTGTCGAAAGGTCAATTGCTTAATCTAATACTGACCCTGACCTCTGAATTACAATAGTATCTTATTAATATAATCATTATTTCAATCAATTTATTATTAAACTGTTTGAAGTCTTCAACTATAATATTATAAACATATTAATATATTACACGGAATTAAACATTTCCTTGTATAAACTATTTTTTTAAATAGGAATTTAATTGGATTGTAATAATTTGTTTATCATTATAAATATAAATATTATGAGTATAATTTTTTTTTATTTAAGATTAAAAAACATGAATAATTCACTTCTAAACTAAATAATAGATAGATAGCAAAAAGATTGAGCCTATGCCTAAGATTAAAAAATCACGATATTTGTATGTGTGAAAACCCCAAGGAGACTCACCAAACAACATTTGGTTTCTGTAATATTTTACGTCATACGAATAAATATGGTTTCATGGGTTGGACTAAAAATATAAAGTGATTCATTAGGATCTTGTTTATGAATGTCCCGACTCTATATAAATAAATAAGTGGAGCTACCACCTTTATAGGACCTGGGCCTCAGAATTTTATGTCTGTTTCATGATCATTTGTCAATCTAATTGGCAAGTAGGTCAGCCTTCTGTGCCTAACACTCGTCAATTTTTTGGGTCTAAGGCAAGCCGGTTTCATCACATTTCTCGACTCTTCACCGGAGAGCGACCTATTTGGGAAGCGTATGGGGGGGGTAGTATGCTGTGATTTGAGAGTATACTTGGAGGGGATAACTTAATTATATTTTATTGTAGTTTTATGTTATTTTTAGTCTGAATTTGGCCATGCATGGGCTGTAAGTAAATAAATAAATCACGATGTTTTCCATTACGTTCGAGCGAATGTTAAATGCGCACATAGAATGAAAGTCCATTGGTGCACAGTTAGGGATCGAACCTACGACCTCAGGGATGAGAGTCGCACGTTGAAGCCACTAGCCAACACTGCTCTCGACTGCTTATTATGTAATAATAATTTTAAAATCGTCTAAGCCTCATTGGAGTACAAATGTTTTATAGTACTTCACTACGTTAAAGGATTACTGTAAAACTGTCATTCATGAGTGTCACTCATTGAAATTAAAAGTTCCCCAAATACCTATAGTGATTTCCATACTTTAAATTTGCACAAAATCACACAAAATGGCATCCGTGATTGCTTTCAATTAACACAATCAGAGCGGATTTAGGCTATCACAAACAGTTTTCACTAATTTTGACAGATCGCTTATCTTGAGCAACATGCCCTAAAACTTAAATGGCAGGGCAGGGCACGTAGCCCGTTATACAGATGACAGATGGTCTAAAACAGTAACCGAATAGACTGCTCCACACGGAAGAAGGAACCAATAGACCGATGGGCCGACAGGATCGAAAGGGTAGTTGAAAAAATTGGATGACACAAAATAAAATAGGATGGAAAAAGTTTTAGAAGGCCTTCTCCCGGACAGGGTCCGCATCTTAGAGCAGTGAAAATTGTATTTATATATGTTGTTAAAGTTCGCATATTATTCCACACATCATGGCGTGCAAATATGTCTTAAAATGTAGAATTTTACATAGAAGTAACATAATACATTACATTATGAGTCATAACATTATAATACATTCTTATATCACTTTATCACTACATCATCACATTACTAAAATATATAATGAACTTTATTATTAACAATTTTCTTAACTAAAAATATAATAACTAAAATATATTATTAAAAGGAGTCCCTTTAGGCAAGGTTCCGAAGATACTGGCAGCGTAACCTTTGAATAGCTAGACTAAATCTTTGTCCGAGGTAGCTGCCAGCTCTAAATTAATCAGTTGTTAAATGTTAATAATGTCAATAATGTGTATGTATAAAGGCTTATTATTATTTTAATATATCTTGTTAACTTAGTTAAGTTGGGTTATCCTACATCAGCAAATAAACTTTGTTTATAGTTTATAAATAGACGCTGCATTAATCTAACACAACATGGTTATTTTGTTCAACTTAACTCGCGTCATAGCAAATACTGTTAATTGCTAGAATAAATTTTGTTTGCTGCTTTAAGTGTTAGTAATTCCTTGAATAAACTTCCTCATGCCAGCTATATTAGGGTATATCATTGTCAATACAAAGTATATATCTAGAGATTCTTAACGTACATAGCTTGAGACAAAACTTTGCTAGGCGTTTCACCCTTACTAAAGTCAAATCTAGTGACTCAAAACCTTTTTTTTTATCTTGATTTGGGTTGAATTCAAAGATCCGTTTAGTCTTGCCAAGTGCTAAGTATGACTTTAGTATGCCTAAATCAAATATAGTTTTGACAAATGGCAACGACAGTTTGCGAAATGATTCCGAATGTTTTACTATCAATGGAGTTGTTGGTCGCGTAGTATCTGAGAAAAACTGTTTTATCTGATTGAAAACTGTTTTATCTGATTGAAAATTATTTTCAATTTGTTATCTTGAAAACTATTAAATCTTTATGTAAACTGAAAATACGTTGTATCAATAGAAAATTCGTTGTATCAATAGAAAATTCGTTTTGTTTATTCTAAATTATATACATATATGAGCAGTAATGGCCTAGTGGCTTCAGCGTGAGACTCTCATCCCTGAGGTCGTAGGTTCGATTCCCTTTCCAATGACTTTCTGTCTATGTGCGCATTTAACATTCGCTCGAACGGTGAAGGAAAACATCGAGAGGTAGACTTGCCTTAGACCCAAAAAGTCGACAGCGTCAGGCACAGGAGGCTGATCACCTACTTGCCTATTAGATTCACAAATGATCATGAAACATCCAGAAACCTGAATCTGTAGCACCACTGGTTAAACGATTTAAATATGTCTTAAACAATATCAAGATTTATTAATTTCCGAATGTTTGATCATATGTTAGCCTACTTATTGGTTACCTAATAAATATTTGTACGTATTATAGTAATATATAATATAAATATTTATTTAGTGTTTAGGTTTTTAAATCTTTCAGAGGTTTTTCTATTTTTATGCCATCAACTTTTCAATTAAACGAATTTGAAGATGTACCTTCGTGGCTAATGTTACTGAAACGATGGTGGAAATTCATGGATTACAACCAAGAAGTCCTAGATTCGATTCCCGGCGAGATATTAATTGTTTCCTCGTGTAATCATGGTATGTCGACCGCATTTTCTATGGTATGTGTGCAAGTGAGCGCATTCTATCGTCTATGACAATAACTAAATTGTATAACATATTCCGATACATGTTTAGTGATTGCTATTGTAATAGCAAGCTTACCTTCTATCTTACTAATTGATCATTTTTGTCACCAGTTTACGGAAGTAAGAGAAGGAAACTTCATTTATAACATGTGGTCGAACCCTACGTATAAAATATATTCGGACGTCTACATCTTCAACTACACAAACGTCGACCAGTACCTGAGAGGAGAGGAGAAACTAAAATTGACGGAGTTAGGACCTTACAAATTTCAGTAAGTTTATAAATATATTGTTATATTTATATTTGTTAATATTCCATTTGTTGTTTTCCTCCAACGTTCCTTTTGTTCTCTTTGGAGTAGAATCTTGGGCCGTGGGGTTCAAGTTCACAGGCCCTAATTAAAGTTTAAAGTTGGCGCCTGGTAGATAGTACCGGTGACCCCAGAGCTGGTGCTTTCCTCGCTCAACGAATAAGTATCGCAATACAGCGAGTAAATTCTGCCAGCGTTAAAGGTACACTGCCAGAGACCAAACTTTTTAAATTTGTTTTAATTTTCTTTTTATTATTTTGAATATTACTATGTAGGTTAAGAAAATTGTAAATACTGTATATTTGATTGTGTGCGAATAAACTATATATTTATTTTATTTACATTTCGTTACCCTGAAACATACTTAAAAAAAAAGGGTGCGTGTACTTATGTACGCGCGTAAGAAGTTATACTTCTTTGGCATTATTAAAAATAGTTTTTGATTGCATGCAAATAATTAATTACAATTAAATAATCAAAGACTAGAAAAGGAGTCATTTTAGTCAATACAGCCCTGCGATTCTGTAACTCACACAGCGGTTTTCGCATCGGCGGTCGCTTTCATATCAGTCGTGATGCAGTCATTTTATGATTTGGCATTCTGAAAAGGTGGGAGCTTGTAGTTAATTGTTTATGCTGTTCTTTACTTTATACTGGTCCAACTTTGATACAGTAGGTGGGCTAATGAACACTGATTAAAATTTCATATTATATTCACTTATATCGGTAGCTCATGTCTGAGCGTCGTGGTCAGCATCGAAGCATCTGGAGCAGACTATCTGTTTCCATCGGTTTCTGTCCAGCGACTCTCTTATGACAGTGTACAGTTTTGAGGACGATGAGTCTTTCACTTGATCGGTCCATCAGGTGAACGGCCACGTGATCTTTTGCCTTCTGTGTTACCAACCATAATCAGTTTCTCCAAGTTCTCTGTGCATTATATGGCCGAAATAAGATACAATTCGCGGTAGACAGGAGCCCGTATGCGGAGTTGGGTCCGGATCAAGAATACAGAATAGATAAAATAAGCTACAATCACCCAGACTTATATTTAACTAAACCCCTGGCTTGGGATTAAGCCTAAAAGTGCACTTTGGTAATATTCCTAATTGACACTTAGCGCCACTAACAGACTGTATTTAAAAGTTCAAGTTCATACTTATTTAAACCTTAAAGTAATAAAAGTAAAGAAATATATTTTTACAGAGAGTTGCGAACTAACGAGAATATTACCATAGACAAAGAGCGAGGAGTGATGACAATGAAACCGAAGATTAAACTCAAGTTCCTCTCAGAGGAGTCAGTGGGACAGTATAATGACAGCATCGTGGTGCCTAATATTGCCCTGATTGTAAGTAACATTACCATACATAAACAAAAGCATCAAAACGTACCAGCTGCATAGAAATAACCATCAGCACCTAGATGAACCATATAAGCGGATTTAGGGCGGAATTCTGACAATGTCGACAATCAGAATTACTCAGGGATAATGTAGCATTCTAATGGTAAAATAATTTTGGTAATTGCTCCAGCAGGTTTTGAGTTTTGAAGTGAAACTTCTTAAGGCGCATGAGGGTAAAATTTTTACCGAGCGTCCCGATGATGTGCAGCATTTTTGTTAAAGAAAAGGGAGAGCGATTGAGACTTAATACATATCAATATCATTATTATTTTATTTAGTAACTAAATTACCATTTTTTTGTTGATTTTGTATTTTTATAAGGACACCGAACCAAGACCTTCTTGCTAAGACCCAGTTGACTATTTTAGAAAATGTGGACATAAGTTAGCAATTATGATGATAATGAATTTGTTATATTATTTGGTAATTGTTACCATATGTATGGTGGTATTTCTATATACATAACAACAACTAATTTTAGTTCTGGTTTTTAATTAGGCTTAGTATCATTCATTAATATAGAAATACTGGCAAAATTTAATTATGGGATTTGGGCAGCTTAATTAATTTACAAAGAAGTTTCACTTCTGACATGTGTACTTTGTAATCACGCACTTTTTTTTTCATTACAAACCTACAAATATTTTCTCGATGTAATATTAGTATTTGCCTCCATTCTTAACGCTTACAAAGTTTATCTTAATCCATTGTTTCATTGCTGTACCAGCCACCACGCTAAGTACATAAAATGATGAGGATCATAGGTGGAAGGCCATGTCACAACTAACGTGTTGTCGCATATTTATTATATATTTAACAATTTTAAACACATTATTACGTAAGTGGGGTTTTTTGTCATGCGGTGAACAACAATTGAATCTCGACTTTTGCAGAGTTTTTGTTAAATTGTATCACATATTAATAATTTTATTAAATTCTCATATTGTACGTTTAATTTTAGCGTATTAAAACTTTATACTTATTTTATAAACGAGATGTTTTGTAAATGTTTCGTTGTTTGACTAAATGGGTCAAATTTCGTGGATTTTTTGAGACTCGAACCCCCGGGGTAAGGTTGGATTGGGAGTCGCGCACACACCTACTAAGCTATCAAAGAGGTTTAGATAAATTCAGATTCGAATTCTATCAGAAACTCTATAAGAAACAAGAATTCCGTAACAGTAATTAGCAAATTATTCAAACGTTATACTTAGTAATCCGATTTCTGCGTAATTCCAATAAAAATTAAATTGTAAATTGAAAACTTTGTCGTATTCAAGTATTTTAATAACAATGATGTTGTTAATTACTTCGAAGTCAACTCGTGGCTAGATCGTGCAATAGATAACTTAATTGAGTTGTATGATATATTCTGATGTTTTTTTTATATCACCAAAGTAGGAACAGGTATGAATTTTAAGTTATACATTTTATAATCGACTTCTAAAAATTTACCTTATAGGATTTTTGTAACTTGTTATAAATAAATAAATTAACCCTTTTGATTCTCTGAGTAATACTAGACCAGCCAAGCAGTGGAGAGTATCTTTTATTTTTTTGATTTTTTAATAATTTATAATGACAACAAAAACAGCTTTAATTTTTAATACATTTTAGAACTACAGTGTAAACGAATTTCAAGGGAACGAGCATTTTTTCATTAGGACGGAAGAGAAAAAAACAAATTTAACCAATTACAATAATTTATATAGATATAAAGAATTAATAATGTATGGATTTTGTGTTAAACCAAACAAATTAATTCATTTTTACGTTATAGAGAGCTTTTCGTTATAACGAATGGCGTTATAAAGTGTACACTGTACTTAATAATAATAATTGATTTGGTAATACATATGGTACAAATAATTATAGAAAATATGGTAATTTATTATGGTGGTACAATCTAAACATAGCACATTCTGCCACACTTAATGGCGTGCATTTACATAGTAAAAAGGTAGAATTTTACATAGTAGTTACATATTATTACATAACATTATCATATAATCATATCATCATAGTCAATTCATATATTAATTTATCACTACTTCATCACATTATTAAAATCCAATTTTACGTTATCAAGTTAATATTAATTATAATGTTTCAAACAAATAATTATTAATAGAATAATAAATTTTTCACAAAATAGCACATTAAGTAGATTTTTAAAAAACTAGTAGAAGACCTTTGAAAGTTTTTGTTAAATTATTATAAACGTTGATTGCCATACAAAAGGTGTTTTCCTATACAATGCCAGATTGTCTTCTGGCATAACCAATTTCTCGTTTACTTCGGTAGTTGTCCATTTCCGTTGACTTAAAAATATTTATGTATACGTGAACGAATAAGGACACATAGAGCATACATACATACAGGGACGAGATTTTGTGTTTCTTGAACTTTATATATAAGAGACTAACTAATAAATTCTAATTTTATCAATTGTTTGAAAATGTTTTTAAACCCCAACGAAAAAAGAGGGGTTTAAAAAAGATGGTTGGTACCTACAACTTTCTACCTAACCTACACTGATGATGGAGCTCGAAGAGGACATTTATTTCTGTAAATACCATTTAATGGAATTCAATTTACGCATTTAAAAATAAGCCATCATAACGAAATGCGCTAAAAACAGTTACGATACTTTGAGATGACTGTTAGAGACAATGAGGAAAATTTTATTTAACTTTATAGTATTTATTCTGTCTGTGCTAATAGTAATAGTAACTAGTTATTTTAAGTCAAGGCTAGTATTTAACAATATATTTAAACATATAAAACTATGTAAGAGCTTTGTATGCTTATTAGTTTGGCATTATATTATCAATTTGTTTTATTTATTTATTTCGTAATCCTACAGCTAACAGAAATTATATATAATAACAAACAGTTAAACTGAAAATATAGACAGAATGGAATACATAATACATTTAACTACAAAAAGTTCCAAAAATTTACAAAAGGAAACAAACAAATAAAAATTATTCAATACATTCAACTAAGTAACACCTAATTTGGCTGTATTGTGTGATGGTGTAAAAGTACGTCTCAGGTCAAAGTCTTTATTAGAAATAGTGACTTCGGCACTCATTGCATATTTAAACATTAATTATTTAGCGTTTTAAATCGTTACATGTGACAAATAGGCAAGCTAAATAATATAAAGCGTTCAATTCAGTTTAAATAGAAAAAAATTCAACAGACTCTATAATATAAAGGATAATTTTGATTTTAGGCTATCAGCACCCTTCTCGCAGACCAGGGTTTAGGATTTATACCCAACACAGCCGCGTATTACACAATGACAGCTCTGGGATCCAAGCTTTTCAAGCCCATGCCAGCGGGTGATTTCCTCTGGGGCTATGATGATCCCCTAGTGAAGGTTGCCAGTAAATTGGTCCCTGGTTGGATCGATTTCGGCAAGATTGGAATTATGGATAGAGTGAGTTGAAAATTATTCTATAAAATGAATTTATGCGCGAATTTTATTATTTACACAACATTTCGTTTGCTTCAGTAGTAATTATAGGCTAAGAAATACTGCCTCATCATTAAGAGGTAACTATTTGATATTATGATTTAACAATGTTATATTAACCATTAACGCTATCTTTTGTCACGAAGTCAGAAATAGCAATACGAAAAAAAGGGTTTATAATATGTTTCTCTTAATGCAATAACTCTTTTTATTTTTTGAAGTTTACTTCTTTTGGCACGTTATACACGTACACGTTTTTTTTTCCTCATTGCAACTTACTTATGTTAATGTTTTCAGTTTTACGCTCAAAGAAATGATGAAGTAGAGGTGGAGCTGAAGAACATCAGTAGGAGGTACTCCATTAACACATGGAATAATCAGCCTGGCCTTAGAGAACAGGGTTTTTCCTCAATTAACACCAGGTGAGATAATTTTTTTATAGAACACGGAGCAAACGGGAAGGAGGCTCATCTGATGTTAAGTGATAGCGCCCATGGACGCGCACATACCCAGAAGGCTCGCAAGTGCGTTGCAGGCCTTTTAAAAATTGGTACGTCTTTTTATTGGTACCCTTAGTCGAATTGGTTCCACATAGTAGTGCTTAAAAAGCACTTAGCTATGGAGCGACGCAAAAAAATCTTACAAGGCCGTCAACACACTTGCGAGCCTTCTGGCAATGGGCGGCGGTATCACTTAACATCAGATGAGCAATGATGATATGAAAAAAAGGAACGTCAAGGTATTACGGGTGGAATTTCGTATTCTGCCTCAATGTCCGACGATGAAACTCAGCTGCAAGTATTTATCCGAACAACTCCTCTGAACACTAAATTTCATGATTTCAATTGTTACGACCAAGAACATGAAACAAGTAACTTTTAGATAATGGAACACAAAATTTTTATGTGGACTTGGGTCACTTTCATGTAATGTTTTTTAATTAATAAGATAATTTATAAAGACAACAATAAATGGAAGAAGAAGATAGAAGGTCACTAACCAACCTTCCAACGGCATCGAATCGAAATAATTAACAATAAAATTAGATTTTTGAAACTTATTGAAAACAAAACGCCTTCCAACATAAACAAGGCAATAGGTGTAAGTCATAACACAATTAACGGATATGAATTGTTAATCATGTTTTTAGCATTCCCTGTAACCGGCTACAAGGAACCTACGAAGGTCTGATGCTACCACCTGGCTTCAACAGCACTGTACTCCCAGTTTTTAGGAAGCAAGCTTGCAGAGTCTATCCCTTCGTATATAAGGAGGAAGTGCTTGGATCAATAGGAATTCCACTAACTAGGTAGTTAATTAAAACATTATAGTCAAAATAATGAGTTTTAATCACAGCTTATTCATAAAAGACTTCTATGACTTTAGACATTACTTAAGACATTAAATTACAAATAATTAAAAACCTATAAGTTAATAAATTAAATCAATGGCGCTACAACTTATTTAGGTCCGGGCCTCAGATTTCTGAATCTGTTTCATGATAATTTGTCAATCTAATAGGCAAGTATATCAGCCTCCTGTGTCTGGCACACGTCGTCTTTTTAGGTCTAAGGCAAGCCGGTTTCCTCACGATTTTTCTTCACCAAGCGAATGTTAAATGCGCATATAGAAAGTCGATAGCCGGGGATTGAACCTACGACCTCAGGGATGAAAGTCGCACGCTTAGGCCAACATTTTACTATAGTAGTGTAATATAAGTTAATTAATCTATAATCTAATATATAAAATTCTCGTGTCTCAATGTTCGTTTCCATACTCCTCCGAAACGGCTCGACAGAATCTTCTATCTATATGTCAAACCCCTAAGTGATAAGGGGTGTCTACCCCAAAAAATGTTTTTTTTTATTTATTGGATAAATTTTTATTTTTTTATTATATGACATTAAAAAATACATACAACCCTTAATTTTCACGACTCTACGATCAATGCCATATTTTATATTATAGTAGATAGTTATTTTTATTGAAGTAAATTTTTTTTTCTAGAAATAATATACATGGCAACACAACGTTTGCCTGGTCAGCTAGTAATACCTATATAAAACTGAATTGTTTATTTGTGATATACAAAATAAAAATTGTTCTACTGAGGTTTTTGAAAGCGTTTTATATTTATAAATGTATCTTTGTGATTTAATAACTGTTTACTTAGTCTAAGATAATTTTATTAATTCCAGATACAAGATGGATGATTCGGCTTTTAATAAAACGAATCCTTACGATTGTAAATGCAAGACCAATTGTCTACCTGACGGTTTTGTGGATATTGGCAGTTGCTATTATGGTACGTACAATAACTGAAAAACCAATTCTTTATGTTTCATCTGTCATGATATTAGACCACAAGCCCATGAACAAAAAATACCTGTGAAATGACCCAACGTGAATTACGCTTAGAAGGCTGTTACTATATCTGAAAATAGCTCTGAGCACTATGCCGTCATTTCTCAGCGGTACATGTGAGTACGTGAGTGAATGGACTTTCTCAGGTACAATTGGGGAATTTCGACTAATTATTAATGTACGGCTTTGTTATAAGTGTATAGATGATTAAAAATAAATGTCGAAAAACCTAGTGCCGTACTAAAGTGATGGTGCCGGAAGTCGGTGCAAATTTTTAATTCGACGACAGTTGCAGAAGCAATATAGGTCATTTATTACTGTACGGCATTTGTGTGATTCCTTTTGGACACATATACAGATACTTTACCCGTAAACGCCGTACATATTTCCAGCGGAGCGGTCGAAAGCCAAGGGTCGGAACCCTACCCCTACACCCATATACCCTAAGGTCATTGTAAAATGTACGGCAACATGTTCAAAATATTATTTAACACGGACAATAATGTTTTATAATTATGCCGTCCAAAACTTATAGTTAATATTTGTGTAAATAAATATTTATCGAAATTTCAGGATTTACCAAGTTCTTACTGCTGTAAGATCAGGGAATAATGTACGGCAACTTGTTTTTTTACATAATGTTACTAAATATTACCGTTGTACCTTATAGCCGTTCATTATAAATGGTAACAAATAAAAATATTATGATAAAAAATATATGAAATTTCCGAAATTTAGATGACTTTTCAAATGCTCCTAGAGTAATATGGGGAGTAATATTTTCAAAGATTATTGTTATTTTATATGTAACAAATATAAATAAACATAAAAAACCAGATGCCGTACATTTTACTTCAGATTATTCTTTACAGCTGATAAAAACTTCGACGACGTTTGAGGTGTCCCTTAAGGTCATTAATAACTGTACGTATCTGAGTATACTACCATAAGGCTGTAAAGTATATTTACAGCCTTATCGTACCAGCAGAGAGAGGTAAAGGAAAAATATTTTTAACAAAAATAAAAATATAATACCTACAGGGCGTCCCAAAGTTATAGGACATGAAGGGAAAGTACCTTAAATATCGTAGATAGGGCATTTTACTAAAAGAAGACTTTATGTTATTTTTAAAAGTTAGTAATTCTGCATTCAAAGATTTTTTTAAAATTACTTGCCTCGTCTGGAAATCGAACCGGCTTAAATTTTAAAAAAAATACCCCTACTTTTATGATGCCAATCGAAAGAATGACTAAAACCTAATAACTTTTTAACAAGTAACAGACTCGTAGGGGATTTTTTTAGGCCAAATACGATAGATAATGTTTTTAATTTGATTAAAAAGATATATTCACGCTGTTCCTTTCTTTTAAAATACTATGTTAGTTAAGAAGAGTTATTAGTTTTCGGTCATTCTTTCGATTGGCATCATAAAAGTAGGGGTGTTTTTTTACATTTAAGTCGGTTCGATTTCCAGACGAGGCAAGTAATTTTTTTTAAAATCTTTGGATGCAGAATTACTAACTTTTAAAAATAACATAAAGTCTTCTTTTAGTAAAATACCCTATCTACGATATTTAAGGTACTTTCCCTTCATTTCCCATAACTTTGGGACGCCCTATATTGGTAGGCGGTGGTATAATCTGCCATTTCACAGACTACCGGACTATCGAAAGTGTACGGCATTTATCTTTTACTAAAGATTGTCTAAAGTATTAATAACCTGTGTTATTGCCGTACAGATAAAAATCACCGGAAAATGACTCTTTTCTGAGGAAAGTAATTTACTTCATACACCTATGTGTTCCACAAAAAATGTACGGCATGCTGGAAAATGTTACCTATTTGTGAAGTACTCTCAAGATCATTTAATTTTATGTTGTTCTATATCATCATCACCTATATGCTAATCAGACATATGTTGCGACCCTTGGCTTTCGACCGCTCCGCTGGAAATATGTACGGCGTTTACGGGTAAAGTATCTGTATATGTGTCCAAAAGGAATCACACAAATGCCGTACAGTAATAAATGACCTATATTGCTTCTGCAACTGTCGTCGAATTAAAAATTTGCACCGACTTCCGGCACCATCACTTTAGTACGGCACTAGGTTTTTCGACATTTATTTTTAATCATCTATACACTTATAACAAAGCCGTACATTAATAGTTAGTCGAAATTCCCCAATTGTACCTGAGAAAGTCCATTCACTCACGTACTCACATGTACCGCTCAGAAATGACGGCATAGTGCTCAGAGCTATTTTCAGATATAGTAACAGCCTTCTAAGCGTAATTCACGTTGGGTCATTTCACAGGTATTTTTTGTTCATGGGCTTGTGGTCTATATAGTTTAGAAGTTGTAACACAATTTTCATTCGACAAATATTTACGCCTGTCATCCAGGCCCTTTTCCATGTAAGCTCATAGTTGCGTATTTGCTAAAAATATATCACCGAAGTTTACTAAACTTATAAATAAACAAAAGATTTTTGGAGTGAAACTGGAGAAAAGGGAGATTGAGACCGATTGAGAGAGAGTGAGAAGGGTGAATTACTTTATAGAAATTCTATTATTAAAATTTCGTAAAGAGAATTTATGAAATATTAGTATTTTATATTCTATGCAAATTAATTTATTGAAATCTCAAATGACGAATTGTACGTTAATATACCACGTGTTTTTATTATCGAAGAAATAAATTAAATTTATTATTTGTATTTATTTTCGACACTTTTATTATTTTAATGACAATTAAATTCCTAACATATCTTTCTTTTTCCCTCCCTCTAAGTCTCGGAAATCTAAAGTTTTAGATTTGTATAAATATGAACAAAAGTTAAAAATTAGTTTGCCAAACAAGATTCACTTCTGACATGTGTACTTTGTACGCACGCACTTTTTTTAATAATATTAGTATTGTTTTAGGTTTCCCAATAGCATTGTCAAAGCCTCATTTCTTGGACACTGATCCTGAGCAACAAAAACGTTTTGAGGGTATGAAACCAGATCCTCTGCTTCATTCTTCGCATGTAGATTTGGAAACGGTAAATATCTTAAGAAATGTTAATATGAAATCTATATCCTTACAAAAACATAACAACTGATTACTTTCAGAAAATTGGCGTACCAATAGCTTTAAGTACGAAGTTGCAAGTGAATATCGCTGTGAGGATGGCGTCTGGAAATCCCATCACCAGACCATTAAAAGATATGGTCGTACCTCTTATGTGGCTGACACTAGTAAGTATGATTGCAAATGATAATTGTATTAGAAATAAGGGAATAATCTGGCGTTTAAGCAAATGAATTCTTAGGATAATATTGATTGCGTGTAGTTCCCACGAGAATGTAAGTGCGTGCTCCGTACCATGCCTCCTGCTGATAGAGGACAAATCTTTGTTTTTCATTTATTTAATTTTTATTAGTTAACTTTTCCATGTGTGTAATGATTGCAGCATAAACATTGTGTAAACAACTTGGTAACTAAAGAGTGGCGGAGAGTTTATTGCCAGTTCTTCTCTTCCATTCTACGCCCTTGATTTGAGAACTGGCAGTACCTAAATGTAAAATTAGAAGCATTTTCATTTTTGACGTTCATAAGTGTACATTGTGTTACCTATATTAATAAATGATTTTGATTGATTGATTGATTAATAATTATTTACAGTACTGCGACGAACCACCTCCAGAAGTAGTGGCTCTGCTTCGAATGCGGTTTCTTTTTGCACCACCACTGGTTCTTACTCTTGAAATCCTTCTCATCGTCATCGGAAGTGCTCTGGTCATCCATGGTGTTTATCGGCTCTGGTACCCAAAATACCAACTCATCCAGGCCCAAGATACAAAAAAGGCTGAAAAACGGATCAACCATAGTGTATTGGAAAGACGAAAAAGTAGTCTAACATTAAATATGGCTGACACGTTTAATGATGATGAAATGGCAAAAGAAGCTGTCTCCTTGTTAGCTATTAAGGAAGAAGATTTGCCGGATCTATTGATGGGCGAAACAATTGATTATGATGACAGGTTTTCTGAATAATGTTTGAGACACTTGCCAACGGATAATTTGTGTAATATATTTTCGTTAAAAGAACCAAGTTACCAGTAGTAATTATCCAATAGGTCGTTTAATATACAACGATTGTTAATAATAGGAGAAATGGATGTAAAACTATCTTATTACATCTTAAATAAGTAAAAAGATAGAACTTACATTTTTAAACCTGGTGTAGTTTTAGTCTGTGTTTATTAAAGCTCTATAAAACGTGGACTGAATATAGTATCCTGATTGTTACCGTATGAATCAAACTATGGCAAACAAACACACTTTAGTCTACGTTTTTGTTGTACGCTTGTATTAAAATTTACACACGCATTATCAAATTATTTACGGTCCATTTCAAAACGTATAACGTGCCTTAGTAATATCAGTTTATCCTGTGGGCCAGGGTGTTTTTTGTTCAGCATTAGTCTCCATTGGAAGAGCCTTCTGATCTATCGAGTCTTGTATAATTGTATATCCTTTAGTGTGTATTTTCCGTTTTGACCGATTTTAACCGGCCTTTAATTTATACTTGCCGTAAAGTTTAATCTTGCCTTTTCACCTCTTTTAAAATTTTGAGTAATTAATAATTATAGACTACATTGAATTGCTCAATTAGTTTAAGACAAATGGTGTTAATACGATATATTGCATAGTTCTATTTTTTATATTTTAATTATTTTTAAAGACGGCGCCTTAAAAGTTTATATTAAAATAATAAACTCTAAATATGTAATATGTGTGTTACATATTTAGAGTTACTTTTAATTCGAAACAGTGTTGGCTTCAGCGTGCGACTCTCATGCCTGAAGTCATAGATTCTATCCCCGGCTGTGCACCAATGGCCTTTCTTTCCATGTGCGCATTTATCGCTCGAATGGTGAAGGAAAACATCGTGAGGAAGCCGGCTTGCCTTAGACCCAAAAAGTCGACGGCGTGTGTCAGGCACAGGAGGCGACTGATCACCTACTTGCCTATTGACAAATGATCATGAAAAAGATACAGAAATCTGAGGCCCAGACCAAGGAAACAGACATATTTATTTGGTTCATTGATAAAAATTTATTGATAGGCAAGTAGGTGTAGCAATGTTTGTGTGTCTAGACAAGCCCATTTTCTCACAATGTAGAAAGCATTTTATTTTAATGTGTTAATGTTTAATGTGTACCTAGAAAACTTCATTTGCGCCGATATAATATTATTTTTACATTTTTGCAGTAGATTTGTAAACTAAGTATTCAATATAAATGAAATTATATACATTTCATTAGGCATGTAAATAGCTTTATTATATCAATCAAATGTAATCAATGATTATAAATGACTTGAATTTTGTGTATTTGATTAATCTTATATATCTACAGATAACATAAACGTACATTCTGTATATTTTTGTATTTAAAAATTGCATTTTTTTAACACACTTGGCGTTAACTTCGCCTGAAACTTAACAGTAGCATACATTATGACCGAATCCTAAATTAAAAAACGTTAATAAATAATCAAAAATTGTTATGAAATGCAAAGATACCATCGTGTTTAATATTCTGTATTAATTATATAACCATACTTAATGTGATATTAATTTTATTATAATTAGATTAAGTTGTACATATGGAGGTTTTTAAGTAATGTGGAATAAAATAAAAATAAAATAAAATGTGGAATGTGGAATGAAATAATAGTTATTTAAAAATTGTTTTATTTCTTAATAACATTAGGGACTAGATGTAATATTTACATAATGGTAATCAAATAATTTAAGTAACACAGGTAATGTGATAATCTATATAAATACACTGGCACACACAGGTAAGATACACACACAAATATCACACATTTACACCCTAGGCAATACAGCCATACCAGCTCTGGTAATATAGAAAATACATATAATAATTATAGCGTGTCAAAGTCATTGTTAAATGACAGTTAATAAGAAATTATGTGGCATATATATGGCCATAAATCCAGGACACATAGTGTTCAACGTTTGTATATACGTCGGGGACGCCGCGGTGTGCGCAGCCAGAGCCGAAAGATGTGAGACCCCGGAGTTCCCAGCGAGCCCCACTGCCACCACTACGGCACTGAAGGGGGCCTCCACTGTCGCCCTGTTAACAAAAAAGTATTGAAATAAATCTAAGACTGCCCAGTCAACTCAATCCATTTTAAAATAGCAAAATGTTATAATTCTCTCATCATTATTAAATTGAACGATTTCAGGGAATATTTCATAATTCAGTGTCAGTAACATCACCAGTAAATATATAGACTAATGAGGAATTAATATTTAATAATATGAACGTACACACTTTAGACTAATCATTTAATAATTTCAGCTAACAGTGTGTTTCTCTCAAAGTTTGTATGTATAGTGTTTACTTTGTGACCGGAAATAGAAGAACTCAAAAATATTTATTAATGCATAGAACCTGGACCTTTGGCTTTAAACCAACTAAGTAACAGAGAAACTATATAATATACAATATTATTAAGTTATTGTTCATTCATCAATTACTTTTTCTATTATGCCTTTTAGCTTGTTTGAATCAGCCCATTGTAAAGTTCAACGCGTGCGTCGCTCATACGAGCGAGTATACGAAATAGGGGAAAATATAATACAGTGGATTTCATTTATTAGTACCTTGGTTGTAGCGAACCTTTAGCTATAACGACGTTAAATCTTAGTTCCTTGAATTTAAAGCATACTTTAGTACAAAATTCACATGGCTATTGGATGAAACACCTGTTTTAATGTATCACTTGTAACAAATTCCTCGAAATACCATGCAGATATTGCGACCGCAGTCAACTGCCAATGATAGAAAGATTTATTTCTTTCACAAACATTTCTTTTGTTGAGACCTTTACCTTTTGTTTATAGATTTTAGTTAAGTAGGTAGGTAAGCGGTTACGTTTCGGAGTTAAATTTACCAACTCAGTCAGTTTAAAGTGATAGTGAGTTATTTTATAAATGTACCAGTGAATAACTATGTGTGCACATTTTTATTTAATAATAAATTAATTATACTATACACATGTAAGTGTCTTTATCTCAACCACTGCCTGTAACGACTTCCGGATATAACGACGAAATTAGAGTGGAGCATCTTCGTTATACGCGAAATCCACTGTATGTTGTTTATGTCAAGTAATATTTTCAGTTAATTTTACACAGAAAAAAAAACGGGAAAATATCATGGTAAATTTATTTTATTGATTTAAAGTGATTCATTAATAAAAAGGTAAGTGAATGCATTTAATATAAATCAATAGATCGATATCAAAAGTCGCAATCTCATCAAATAAAACGGTTTGACCTGCGGACAGTGGGTTCGATGATAGATAACGTACTTTGATTTGTTTGTCTTAATTGCATTCCGCTAATAGAAAGTCGATCTGAGCTTTCGTTGTTCGTTATATATTAAATTAATTTGAGTGTAATTGAATTAATTACGACTTATGATATGAGAGAAATAAATGCATGGCAGATAATTCAAAATGGCAGGACTAATGAATCTCGACTTTCAGGAATATAGGAACTTCGTATCACCTACAGTTAAAACTTAATACAGAATTTTTAAAACCGAACAAAGAAATTACAACATACTATAGCCATGAAATATAAATTTCTGAAGGCATCAATATATTAATGTATCAAATAGAGTATAGTGACAAAGGATACAAATATTTCCCAGCTAGAAACAGTTTCTATTGGAAGATACAATAGTATTTTCCTTTACTTATTATTTATATTTTCCGTTTAAACCTCCTGAACTTCCACAAATATTTCAAGATCCAAATTAGCCAAATCACTATTTTAGTAAGTTTTAACAGAATTTCATATTTGTGTATTTATTGTAACGCGATACCCTACATACAGTGACGCTATACGAATTAAATAGGTAAACACTTACCACACAAGCACCAGTGCTGCCGTCAGTACTTCCAGCGCAGAGATGGCCATCATTCAACGGCATACTCAACGAATATTTGTCTCGACATTGTTGAAGTGGCAAAACCGGAACTTCCGCCTCCAACAAAACATCTGTTAACGTTCCGTTTGCCTGTTCTCTTCCCCAACCAGTCGTATAACATTCATCTTTGAAGTCAAGCCCATTGTTATCATCAATAAATGGATCTATTTCTTCACCAAACATCAATTTCTTATCACTTCTATTAATACTCTTTTCTGGATTCAAAAGTTCTCTTACACTATCAAAATCACTATTCACGTCTTCTTGTGCCTTTCCGGTTCTGTAATTTGATGATCTATCGTCAATTCTGGATTTAATTAATTTAATAACACTATCCAAATTGGCACTGTCATATATAATATCTCTATTGTTATTATCGACTTTTCTCTCTGATTGCTCATTGGAAACTCTGAGATTGTATTTCGTGTTTTTATGTTTCTTGAATGATCCGAAAATGTTTTTAGTTAAATTATTAAGCTTTTCTAAGTATTTTATGGCTGAGTCGGGGCTAGGCTTTGGTTTGGGTTTTCGTCTTGTTTCCGGTTTTGTGTAATGTGTGCTACGTTCTGTGTTGTAATTGGTAACTATAGGTTGGTATGGTGGCAGACAAATAGTACGGATCCGACTTCCGGGAGTTACGTCAGCCGCTTTAGTGAGTTTCATTAGAGCTGCAACAAGCATATAGAAATTTTAAAATAAAGAATGTCTAGAAAGAAAAATGTAATAAAGCTTTTAGAAGAATCAGCAGCAGAAATTTAAATGTTAATAACATACCTATATCATGTTGGTAATTGTGAAAGCGATGATGAAGGACTATCCTTTCCACAGGGACGTAAGCCCCTCGCTGCTCAGCTCGGTCCCATTCCCCTAAAACTGCTGTCCATAAAGCAGGAACCGGTAGATTAAACAGCTCACTAGAAATATTACATTGTATATTTCACATATCATTATGGAAAAAACAATATTTTGTATAAATGAGAATGAAAGAAATTATGTTACAAAACTTTCATTGTACTT